ACCATAAGGCTATTGAACAGGATACTTAGATAGACTATCTTCATAGCTCCTTAACAATAATGGAAAACATTTGCATACTGTGCAAAAGACAGCTACTTTTTGCTAAAATAATTTGGAAAATTTATAAATGTCTAGAATAAAGAGCATATATTTATTATAGAATTTCTTTATTAATAACATAATCATTTTAGACCTAAAATGGACTTTTAGAGTCGCACATATTCTTCCGTCTCCTCTGTGTAGAAATACAGGCGATTTAAAAATAATATTTATGGTAGTCTAATATGTATATATAATCTAAGATATTCAATTGAAGGCTACATGAATCACAGGGTATCAAAAATTATCATATCTTCATAGGGTGGTCCAATTTAACAATTGAGAATAAATTCAGCTCTATTTCACGTAATCCAACATTAAAATGTGCTATTGGACAAGTGAGACTTGAATATACATTCTTGTTGAAAAGACCATAGGTGATTAAAATAGATTCAGTTTATGTTCAACACATCATCACATCTTCTGCCCCGAACATGAAAATAGACACAAAATTTCTCTTGTAAGTTTAGGAAAGTATGTTGATACCATAGATTCCTATTGTGCATTTATTTTCACCTTAAACTATTCCCACTTTCCATGTGCTAAGAATTTACACTTCTTCAAGCACATCTTCTAGTTATGATAAATAGTGTATGGCAACACAATTAATTGATGGATGTCAAAGCAGTGAGATCAATTTATTCTTCTAAACAGCTGCTATGGCAGTAAACATATCTTAATAGAAGGAGGCCTCTTGAGTTCAAGAGGCATAAATGCCTGTCTTTGTGCAAGTCCTATCAGCATACTTCCAAGCCTGAAGGCGTTTGGCAAGTATTGTTAATTGACTTGCAGCATTAATTAAGTTAATGATCCAAGATTTTGTTTCACAGTGCTTCAACACATCAGATTATTGTACCAAGAGCATGTCAGAGTAATTTAAACTACTGCATTCTCTGGTACTCATTATGCCATTAACACTACAATTTAAGTAGATAGACTTGCACAAAACAATTCAGAATTTTGTTGATTTCTAATTGGGTAAAACAGCATAAACTTTCCAAACTTGAGAAATATGCATTTAGAAGCTTTCTTTTGATTCTAAGTAAAATTATGGCATCCTTCTCTCACACAAAAGACACAGGTATTTTAAATAATAATTTAAATGTAAACATGTTTTCCTACTATGTCTTTGAATTTAAGTATCTAGTATGGCAACCTCTGAGTTCATGAATTGTAAAAAATTTTTACTCTTTAAATGGAGAACTCAAACTAAATTTTTAAATAGTAAATAATTTACATACTCTACCACCAATAAATAAGACTACTTTTTCCAAACTCAACAACAAATTCCTTTATGTAAGCACTAACAAAGTCATTTTATTCATTTTTTTTTAACTCATATTTTAGGTCCTGGGTACATGTGATGGTTTGGTACATAGGTAAACTCATGTCACAGGGTTCGTTGTACCGATTATTTCATCACCCAGGAATTAAGCCCAATACCAAATAGTTAACTTTTCTCTTCCTCTCCCTTCTCCCACCCTCAACCCTTAAGTAGACCCCAGTGTCTGTTATTTCCTTTGCTGTGTCCATGTGTTTTCATCATTTAGCTCCCATTTACAAGTGAGAACAGGTGGTATTTGGTTTTCTGTTCCTATGTCAGTTTGATGAGGATAATAGCCTCTAGCTCCATCCATGTTCCCGCAAAAGACATGATCTTGTTCTTTTTTATGGCTGCATAGTATTTCATGGTGTGTATGTACCATATTTTCTTTATCCAATCTGTCATTTATCAGCATTTAGGTTAATTCCATGTCTTTGCTATTGTGAATAGTGCTGCATTGCACATTCATTTGTATGTGTCTTTATGGTAGAATGATTTATATTCCTCTAGGTATATACCCAGTAATGGGATTGCTGGATCAAATGGTAGTTCTGCTTTTAGCTTTTGAGGAATAGCCATTATTAATTATATGTAATTATCCACTAAGAAAAAGTAAAAAGGAAACAACTTTATTTTTAAACCGAAATAATGAATGCAAGATTGAATTTGTTTTTTCTTAACAATTTCTATTTATATTTGTGTATACTTGAAGAATAAGATTCTATTGAGAATTTAAGTTTTATAGGAATTCATTCTCAAAACTAGTATTTTATTGGTTTGTAATATCTTCTCCACTTTGTAATCAGTGTTTGTTTTAATAAATGAATAAGTCTTATTTATGTTAGGATATATTTCCTCTCCTCACTCTGGAGTATCTGCAATAGCCTGTATTTTATATTGAAATTAAACTCAGATGTCTATGTTACAATATTTTATACAGTGTAAATAAGATAATTGATTCATATAAATTATACACAAAAAGAACAACACATAAATTTCATTTGTTGCTATTTAAATCAAGATTTATAAAGGTAGTGTTTATAAATGAAATTCAAAAAAGATACAGTAGCTTTATAGGAACAATGACTTGGGATTTATACTCATACATTTTTCTCAGAGAGCACATATGTCCAAGTATTTGAGTAAGTATACATGGCAGTACCCTCTAAATTTGTTACATCTTATTTGTTCCTCATTTCCAGTCTTTAAGAAGTGAAGGTGGCAATTTTGTAACCCACTAACATGTTTTCATGATAAGAAGGGTATACTGAACACATTTATAAATACACATATAAATCTATGTATTTTATACATGTTACTTTTAACACAACTCTAAAATAATTTTTTGGATAAAGAAAGGAATAAAAGAAAGTAAAGCTGTACCTGGTCAAAAAGCACAAGTGAAAATTATGTATGCTTTTACAGTGAAAACAAAATGGAAAGAGTAGAATATTACTTTCTTTTTTTTTTTTTTTTTGAGACGGAGTCTTGCTCTGTGCCCCAGGCTGGAGTGCAGTGGCGCGATCTCGGCTCACTGCAAGCTCCGCTCCCCCGGGTTCACGCCATTCTCCTGCCTCAGCCTCCCGAGTAGCTGGGACTACAGGCGCCCACCACCTCGCCCGGCTAATTTTCTTGTATTTTTTAGAGACGGGGTTTCACCGTGTTAGCCAGGATGGTCTCGATCTCCTGACCTCATGATCCGCCCGTCTCGGCCTCCCAAAGTGCTGGGATTACAGGCTTGAGCCACCGCGCCCGGCCAATATTACTTTCTTAATGACAACTAATCAAAATATTGCCAATAGTTCTTATGTATTTGCAACTGGGGAACACTGTGCTGTGAGAAAAAAAAAAAAAAAAAAATCTACATCACGAAAATGGCTGTCACATAATCAGTTGAAAAACAAAATAGGAAAGAGTTCTATGAAACAGCTACTCTCTGGTGAGAAATTCAACACTATTTAAAGTTTGCCTGCCTGTTTCTCAAATGTAGTACACCGCTACAATACTTAAAACCTGATTTCTGTGCCCATACATTTGTAACTTGTTTATTTTCATGTCGTTAACAATAGAAAGGTATTCTGAAATTGTTAGCTCAGTGTTTTGCCTCATAAGGAGGTTCCCAATTTATTTATAAGGGAAAAAATGTTATGTTTATGATTCTATGATGTACAGAAATGGGCTTAGTTAGCATCATGAGATCTGACTCACACTTATAATTTCAGACCAGAATAAGTGTGGCTCCATAATCAAGCCACAAAAGCAGAACCAAGTTAAACAAAATTTTGACTGTGTTTTAAGCAAAGTTAGTATGATGAAATGAATTATCTGTGCTCAGCAGTAGGTCTAGTTGTGCATATAGAATGCATATCATTTCCTGAGCTATCTAATAAATGCATTCGTGAAATTGGGCTGGGAAGTAGAGACTAGCTTCCAGAAACAAATGCTGTAGTACTTACAATCCTACTCTCAATGAAAAGAAATTAACTAAGAATTCTGTAACATCTCACTGCATTATGAAATTTGAAAATTAGACCCTAACGAATATAGTAAATAATTACAATACTTTAAAGTTATAGTGGTATTAGAATATGTTTAGGTTTAGGTAAAAACAAGTAACATAACAAAAACAAGTGGGACTTATACCCCAACTTGTATACACCACATGATCAATTACCATAGTTTTCTGAAACCTGGATATGGGAGCAGAAGCCCTGAATTGGTCTGTGTCATAGTTTTACAGTTTCACAGACAATATGTTAACTACCAAGGGGCTTTTATTCTTCACTTTTGAAATGTAAATACTTCTTTTGTATGGATTAATACTCCCTACTGAAATGGAACCACAGTCTGAAAACACTTGTTTGCTTTCTTCACTGCCATATCCCCCTCCATTATCATCTCTGGCCCATAATAAGCACTCAGTCAATATTAGTTGATTCAATTTAACAAGATCATGTATGAGAAAAGTCTTTATAAACTGAAAAATATGCTGCTTAGGTATTATCACTTCAGACAAAAGACAAAGTATACATAATCTGTAGTCAAGAATAAATTTTCAGAAGCATTTTAAAATATGATGTTTTCTTATTCTGCTTTACAACAGATATGTGCAATTTAAGTGATATTTCTTGGTAGTAGAAGGAGTGTAGTTTGATAAATAGGCTAAATTTTTATCTTTGAAATACCTAAGTCAAGAAAATCTCTGCAGTGTAAAGAATAGTGTAAGTTTCAACTCTCCATCTATAAAATATAAAAAATGAAGGGACATTGATGTAGAAAATAAAATCAGTGAAAGTATTTAAATATGTTTATCATGTCATTTCTCTGCAAATAGTATTTTCTTCCAAGATGATTATGTAAATTATTTCTTAAATATAATGCACATTTTACAATAGGTCAACTAAACAAGATTTTAAATTCTAAGATATTATTCTAATTTCCTATGTCAAGTAAAATGTTTTTATATTTCTTTTCTCCATGATATGCCTTAGGAAAGATTTTTACATATGGTAATGCTGTAATGGTGTTAATATATTTATGTATGAGATTTAAAAAAAATGAATTTGATATATTTTAGGGAAAATGTGTGAATCTTCAGTCAATTACTGTGAATGCAACCCCTGCTTTAATGGTGGTTCCTGCCAAAGTGGTGTGGATTCTTATTATTGTCATTGTCCATTTGGTGAGTAAAACTTATTTGTTGATATAAAATATAAGTTCATTTTTGCACACAATTTAGCAGTTTTATTTTATTATGAGCATGACAAAGAAACTATTGTTTTACATGGAAAGTTTTATTACAATAAAATATTAAATGTTTAACATTTGTAAAAGTTATGGAAATCCCATTGAATGCATTGCATTGATCATTACTAGGAAAAGAGTCAACTCAAGATAATCGAATTAATGTTGTTTCTGTAGGACATTTCCCCTCAAAGATTTATGGATGTCTTCTTTTTAGCTGAGAACTTATGAACTAAAAAAAAAAAAAAAAAATCTTTAAGCACTCTTTGACATCACTGTCTATTTCAAATCTTTAAGAGTAGTCAAAGTAAGGTTTTTTGTTTGTTTCACTTTTGTGAATGTTGTTTTGTTTTTTATTTTTGTTTTTTACATTAGTTTTTAATTTTGTTCTTTACATTGATTCAGCCACTTTTATTAGAAGGACTTAGTTACTATACATGAAGTTTTCATAATAGGCTTTTTGTAGCTGATACTACCTGACTAATAAAATTTCAAACTTCTCTGTTCTTTTGAGTAAGAAAAATTGTTAAAAAGAACTTTTGTGTAAACATACATATTTATTCACCCAAGTGGAATGAACTAAAAGATTCCATCCAGGTCTTATCCAACTGTTACCCATTACTGTGCCAGCCAAAAACCAGAGGAAGCATTTGTATTAGCTTGGTTTGTTTCTTAAGTTTGTGATTATTCCATTTTTTAAAGGCTACTTTACACCACAATGTAGAATCCATCTCCAGATGACTCTGTCTCTTTTCTTAAGCAAGAAAGAGCAATGATATTTTTCTAGTCTTCCTTTGGGCATATAACTGTGCTATATGGACCTGAAAAGAAAAGCTCAACCTATAGTAGATAGTAGAATTTGAAGGACATATGCAGTTCCTAATATCCTGTATAATTTACTAGGTATTTTTAATTTCCAAACAATTTCTTGACTATCTGTTTTTATTAAGCACAACATCAATAGAATGATAAGGACAAACAGAACAGAAAAATACCTAATTTGGGGGAATGTATTTTACCAATTGTTTTGAGGCCCAGAAATTGAATGATTTGCCCAAAGTCAAAAAATGAAGTTGAAACAAAACTACCCCAAGACAATGTAGTGACTAGAACACAAATTTTTATTTTCAGTCCAGTCTGACATTCACAACACCCCTTTTTATAAAATTTCTTTGACATTCTCACTAACAATGCCCGGGAAGTAATGAAAGGTTTATCAAGGTCAAAATAACCACAACTTTAGATCTCCAAAAACTTTTTCTTTCTTTCAGTGGTGTCTCATAATTTTAAATGGTGCTGCTTTCTACATATAACCATAGTCACGTTTCATGGTTTAACTTAACATTTTGATATAAAAGATAAGGGGGTTAGAGTATACACTGGAAATGATTTTCAAGTGACTGAACCGAAAACGTTCATATTTTTAGGGATTCCTTTACATTACAGTTGCAAATTTGAGGATTTAAGAAAATTGATACACAATAAAAACAAGTTGCTGCTGCACTGTAGTGGTACAACTGGCGTCGCCTATTAAGTGGAGCTATTTGGGGGGCCAAATATACCTTCTTGTCGCTCTGCTAGAGATCGCCAGGGAAAGAGGAATAGCACAATGTAAATTAAAATAGACACAAATCACACATAGCCGGCAGTGCAAATTTCTCCCCCTATTCCTTCCAGTGGCAAAGACAAAAAATCATTATCTAAACTTAGATATTGTCAGCACTTAGAAAAGAAAACAAAGGTCACTGAAACACTACTATGTAATTTGAAACTAAAGAGATAGAATTAAAAACAAAAATGATTTTTGTTCTCAAATTCCATAAAGAAATATTTTCATGTTTGAAAACACACTATCAATTTGAATTAAAATGTAAGTATCTGTGTACTTTCTACATATATTTACATTTGAATATTCAGCACATTGTTATAGATTTATTAAAGTTTATTCAGAAGAAACCTAAGTGAACACATAATACAAATTTTTTTACTAGTATTTTTATTTCATTTATATGCTTTCTTTTTCCTTTAACTTCACTTACTCTTTCTGCATTGATAACATATTTATATATTAATTATTAATATATAGAAATTATAAATATTAAATATAGATGCCACAGAAATGTATAAAATACAAATGCAAGTTTTACAGGATAGATATAATAAATATATAATGTACAAGATTATACTATGTATAAAATATACTATCTATATATCATATATATGACATATCATATATATCAATAAATATCATTTCTATAATTCCTTTGCCTTCAACTTCAGTTAAAGATTAAAAATTAAAAATCATGTATAATTTCTTTTTTTTTTTTTTTGAGATGGAGTCTCGCTCTGTCACCCAGGCTGGAGTGCAGTGGAATGATCTCGGCTCACTGCAAGCTCCGCCTCCCAGGTTCACGCCATCCTCCTGCCTCAGCCTCCCGAGTAGCTGGGACTGCAGGCGCCAGCCACCACGGCTGGCTAATTTTGTTTTGTATTTTTAATAGTGACAGTGTTTCACCCGTGTTAGCCAGGATGGTCTTGATCTCCTGACCTCGTGATCCGCCCACCTCGGCCTCCCAAAGTGCTGGGATTACAGGCATGAGCCACCATGCCTGGTCAAAATTATGTATAATTTCTACTCATTTATAATAAATATTATTTCAGCCTGGACAGAAAAGGAAAAGATAAATAACACAAACTTTTATGGCAGCTTCTAGGCTGTTTTAATTTTTAAAATGTTCTGATATAAAATGTGGTAGTCAAAACAACTAGACAATCAATAGATCTGGCCTCAAATTTTGGCTGTTTCTCTTGGTTCTGTGACCTTAGGCAAGTTTTAAGTACTCTATAAAATAATGGCATTGGTTCCTTCTAGCTGAACAATTCCCTCACTCTAAATTTTATGCATTTACAGGACATAAAAAGCCAAAATTAAGAAATGAAGCCTTTGCAAGTTAATAAGAATCATGAGGTATTGGCGTGGGTTAATTTTCCAATCATTTGCCACAGTCTACTAATATTTGTGGGAAAAGAATTTTGGCATAGCATTGTAACATCAATAAAACTCATTTTTCAAGTTTGAAAAAGAACCAGCACAAACAAGTGGGAATGCTGACTTTCAAAAAAAAAAAAAAAGACAGCTATTTTAAAGTAGCCTGCTATAAATCATACCCACAGAAGGTATAAAACAAGAAAGAGATAAAAACTTAAAGATAGTTATTTCCTTTCCTAAACCAATGATTTCACTTGCCTGATTTTGTGGCCTTGAAAATAACATGAATATAGGTACTGATTTTTAAAAAATCAAAACAAATGCATTTACCATCTTCAATTGAGTTGAAATAGTTTTTAAGAACTATATATTATGAAGGAAGTATGTTGACTGAAAATTGTAGCATAATAAAACTTCTAAAAGGTCAACAAATTTAGGCCGGGTGTGGTGGCTCATGCCTGTAATCCCAGCACTTTGGGAGGCTGAGGCGGGCGGATCACCTGAGGTCAGGAGTTCAAGACCAGCCTGACCAACAAGGTGAAATCTCATCTCTACTAAAAATACAAAATTAGCCAGGTGTGGTTCTGGGCACCTATAATCCTAGCTTCTCGGCAGGCTGAGGCAGGAGAATCGCTTGAACCCAGGAGGCAGAAGTTGCAGTGAGCAGGCACTCTAGTCTGGGCAACAAGAGCAAAACTCTGACCCCCAAAAATAAAAAAAAAAATTATAAAAATAAAAATCAACAAATTTTGAAACGTTTCTGGGAAAGAAATCTCTTCAGACACACTCCATTCCACTAAACCTTTAATTTTTAGAAACAAAGCATACTTAGATATGTTCCCTAAACAGACAATGAAAAATAATTACATCAATTAATCATTTCTGCCATATTTTAAAGATTATTCATAAAGATCATTAACTCTATTTCAATTTTAGTTTAGATGAAATTTTTTGGTAAGTAACAAGAAAGTTGTTAAAACATAACTCATTTTATAATTCAAAAATATTTTAATCAAAATATATAATAAAATTTCCCTGAAATTTTATGCCAGTTTGTCAATTTTCCCTCCAACAGGTGTCTTTGGAAAACACTGCGAGTTGAATAGTTATGGATTTGAGGAGTTGTCATACATGGAATTTCCAAGCTTGGACCCCAATAACAACTATATTTATGTCAAATTTGCCACTATTAAAAGTCATGCCTTATTGCTTTACAACTATGACAACCAGACAGGCGACCGGGCTGAGTTTTTGGCCCTTGAAATTGCCGAAGAAAGACTAAGATTCTCTTATAATTTAGGCAGTGGTACATATAAACTCACCACCATGAAGAAGGTGTCAGATGGACATTTTCACACTGTAATCGCCCGGAGAGCAGGAATGGTAAGATATTTCATCCTACATAAACCTCATTTTATTGTTGTTGTATATCCAACTGGATTATGAACTGGGGTGCAAATCATATTAAATTAGGCTTATTCATTAAATGAACACTTTAGTTATGAACAACTTAGATGTAACATTTTTCTTTTGCTCATAACAACTCTGTTCAAAAACAATAAAAAAGAGAACAATTGAGAAAATAGCCTAGTGTGTGAAAATTTCATTGATTTTTTTGTATGTTTTTAAGGCCATATCAGGCCTATACTTAAAATAACTACCTTTCTTTCCTAAGTATTTCTGCCTTGACTGAAGAAACAATTAAAGAACAGAGGAGACTTTTCTGCACAATCTACATACCTTAATCAAAAACACTTTATTGTTAAAAAATGCAAGCAATAGTCGTAGCTAGTCATAGTCTTTTTGCTGGTAGAGGGTCTTGCCTTGATATTGGTGGCTCCTGACTGAGCCAGGTAGTAGTGGCTGAAGATTTGTGGTGGGGGCTGTGGAAATTTCTTAAAATAAAACAACAGTAAACTTTATAACATTAACTCCTTTTTCATGAAAGATTTCTCTGTAGCATTTGAGGCTATTTGATTGATACTATTTTACCCACAGAGGAAATTGTTTCAAACTTGAAGTCAAGCCTCTCTCAAACCTTGATGCTAATGTATTAATTAAGCCTATGGAATATTCTAAATCCTCTGTTGTCATTTCAACAATGTTCACAGCATCTTCACCTGGAGTAAGTTCTGTCTTAATAAACCACTTCCTTTGATTATCCCTAAGAAGCAGCTTCTCATCCTTTCATGTTAGTTTTGCAAGATTGTAGCAGCTCAATCACATCTTCGGGCTTCACTTCAAATTCTAGTTCTCTTGCTGTTTCTACCACATTGGCAATTACTCCCTCCACTGAAGTCTGGAAGCCCTCAAACTCATCCACGAGAGTCAAAAATCAACTTCCTCCAAACTCCTTTTAATATTTGATATTTTGACCTCCTTCCATGAATCATGAATGTTCTTCATGGCATCTAGAATGGTGACTCCTTTCCAGAAGGTTTTTAATTTACTTTGCCCAGACCCATCAGAGGAATCATAATCTGTGGCAACTATAGCCTTATGAAATTTATTTCTTAAATAATAGGACTTGAAACTCAAAGTGACTCTTTGATCCATGGACTGCAGTCTGGATGCTGTGTTAGCAAGCATGAAAACAACATTAATCTCCTTGTACATCATTGTCAGAGCTCCTGGGTGACCAGGTGCATTATCAGTGAGCAGTAATATTTTGAAAGGATTTTTTTTTCCTGAGCAGTAGATCTCGATAGTGGGCTTAAAAATATTCAATAAACCATGCTGTAGACAGACGCACTGTCATCCAGGCATTTCTGTTTACTGATAGAGCACAGGTGCAGTAGATTTGGCATAATTCTTAAAGATCCTAGGATTTTTAGAATGGAAAAGGAGTGCTGGTTTCAATGTCAAGACACCAGCTATATTCGCTCCTGATGAGTCAGCCTATCCTTTGAAGCTTTTAACCTAGGCATTCACTTCTTTTCTCTAGCTATGAAAATCCTAGATGACATCTTCTAATAAAAGGCTGAGTTTTTACATTGAAAGTCTGTTCTTTAGTGTAGCCCCTCCATCAATGACCTTAGCTAGATCTTCTGGATAACTTGCTGCAGCTTCTATATCAACATTCACTGCTTGGCTTTGTATTTTTACATTACAGAGATGACTTCTTTCCTTAAACCTCATGAGCCAACCTCTGCTGCATTCCAACTTTTCTGCTGTAGTTTCCTCACCTCCCTCAGCCTTCATGCATTGGAAAGGAGTTAGTGTGCCTTTTTCTAGATTAGATGTTGGCTTAAGGGAATGTTGTAACAGGTTTGATCTTCTATCCAGACTACTAAAACTTTCTCCATATCAGCAATAAGGCTATCGTGCTTTCTTATCATTTGTGTATTCACTGGAGTAGCACTTTTAATTTCCTTCAAGAACTTTTACTTTGCATTTACAGCTGGGCTAATTATTTGGCACAAGAAGCCTCGCTTTTGGCCTCTCTTGGCTTTCTACATGCCTTCCTCACTAAGCTTATTCATTTTTATATTTTGATACAAAGTGAGAGACATGCAACTCTTCCTTTCACTTGAGCACTTAGAGGCCATTGTAGGATTATTCGTTGGCATAATTTCAGTAGTGTTTTATCTCAGGGTACAAGGAAGCCTGAGGATAGGTAGAGAGACCAGGGACAGATAATTGCTCGAGCAGCTAGAACATAAACAACATTTATCAATTAAGTTTGCCATAGTATATGGCACGGTTCATGTTGCCCCAAAATAATTATAATAGTAACATCCAAGGACACTTCACTCATCATAGATCACCATACCATATAAAATAATAATGAAATATTTGAAATATTGTGAGAATTATTAAAATGTGACTCACAGTCACAAAGTAAGCACATGCTGTTGGAGAAATGGTGCTGATAGACTTGCTGGATGCAGGATTACCAGAAACCTTCAATTTGTAAAAAACAAATCTGCAAAGTGCAATAAAGTGAAGAGCAATACGATGAGGCATGCATGTATTTACAGATTATATTGATTTTATTATGTGGCTTTCATGTTACAAGAATGACATATCTATTTAGGACATGTGTTTATTAAACAAATACATTTTTTATGAAGGAAAATGCATCACATCTTTTCTTTATTAATGTTAGAAAATATTTGACATAGTGTAATAGAATGGAACAGCTTATTTATTTTTTATTCTTTATCTTCACAACGATCTCTCCATATTTCCCCCATCTCTAATGGCTATCAAGGATTTATTTTTTTTAATAAGAAAATGCTAACAAATCTGTCTTAAAGCATTTTTGCACTTTAGCTTTGAGCCTTTAAAAGTGTAGTTACTGGTGGCCAGGCGTGGTGGCTCACGCCTGTAATCCCAGCACTTTGGGAGGCCGAGGTGGGCGGATCACGAGGTTAGGAGATCAAGACCATCCTGGCTAACAGTGAAACCCCATCTCTACTAAAAATACAAAAGAAAAAAAAAAAATTAGCCAGGCGTGGCAGTGTGCAGCTGTAGTCCCAGCTGCTGGGGAGGCTGAGGCAGGAGAATGGCGTGAACCCGGGAGGCGGAGCTTGCAGTGAGCCTAGATCGCGCCACTGCACTCCAGCCTGGGTGACAGAGCAAGACTGTCTCAAAAAAACAAACAACAACAAAAAAGTGTAGTTACTGGTAAGATTTATAATTCAACCTAGATAAAATAATTGTGTAAAATGTTAAATTGTCTACTGAAAAGAAAGCCTAGCCAAAACAAAATAAGTACCCTTAAATCATTTTTAAATGAAAAAACTTGGTATCTAAATGATTATAAATTTATTTCTGATTTCATGTCAATCTTTAAAATATATGGTAACTTATATAGTCCTTAGACTGATTCTATGAATCATACATTTGTGTGACTACAGATTAATTTTTGCCACTAAATGCGTGGAATATGTTATATTGCTGAATGCATATAAGCAATATTCAGAAGTAATATTTAAAATGTTTTTAACCAAGTTTTTGCTATTTTTTTCTCTCTGGCCCATAGTTAATTTTAAAGGCTAAAATTTGTGCAATCTATAATTACCAATTTCATAAGGGCATAAGACAGAAACTACCTTATAATATTAATTATTTTTGACCAATACACATAACAGGCAATCTATTATCAAAGAACAAAGTTTGTCATTTGCTCTCAGGAATATTTTATAAATTCATGTTTATTTTGAATTGGCATCAGATACAATGACTTTTCTCTCCTGCACTCGAATTTACTACAACATTAAAGTAAATTTCAGCAAGTTTTTAAATACAGAACTATTTTTAATTGTGAGGGGGAAAAAGAATAATGATTAGCTTTAAATATAACCAAGTGATTGTGTCAACATGCTCAAGGGTAGCTGCTCAGACATGTCATTCATGGATATCGCCACATCCATCAAACTGCATTCAGGGTCCTACCAGGTTATGAAATGTATGTTACTTGAAATGTGGGTGAGAAAACAACAAATGTATTATATGGTTTTTATCAATCATTTTAGTTATATATTGTTTTCCCCATTTCCTTTTGAACTTAGTGTTAATATTTCCAGCTGGAACATTTTTCTAATATATTTAATTTATACAGTGTTTACTTAATAAAATTACCCCCAACAGTCTGAAAATGGTGTCAAGACATAATGTTATATTTTATATTTTAATTCTACTATGCCCACATTTCCATATTTTTGTAAAGGTTAATATGAATTATAATTAAAATTTTATTTCTGTGAATTAGGTGCTAAACAGGTGTTAGTCATCCCGAATTATCACCAACTCATCCCACATATAACCTTTTGAAGTAAAATAATGAAATATTTGACTTGATCTTGGTCTCAATGAAGTTTAAATTATGAGTAGTGCCTAAAAATCCACCTGACTTTAATGAACGTTAGTAGAGGTATAACAAACCAATATTGGATAGAATATATTTTCTGATTAGTAATAGATTATTGCACTGATTTTTGCTTGAGATTTTTTAAATAGCATAATATCAAACTGTATGCCCAGAGGAAGACCTCTGGAAGAATATAGAGTTAATCAGTTCCAGTATTCCTGATGATTGAAGTAACCAAAAATATTGGGCCTTAAAGAATCAGAAAAACATTTGGAGATTGATATATATAGATTGGGCTCACATTAGCCATAATAATATCCCAAAGCTTATGAGTAATAGTAGACATCACCTCACCCCCATTTTCCACACATATGGAAGATAACCATATTTCTGATATGTTGTCAAGTATACTATAATGTAAAATAAATGATTTTACTTGATGACCTCCAAGGTCACATTAAACTTCATGAGCATTTGATTCTATCAAACGAGGACATGGGAGCAAGAGGTAAGTGAAGGAGGTAATTTGAAGGATGCAGTTCATTTGTATTATTGTGACCACAGTCATCAATTTTAATAATACCATATGTGAAAAAAACTGTCATTATTACTTGAGTCATAGGAAAAATGCCTTCCTGTTTCAGAAAACATCCAAAATAGGGCCCCTACTGGATTCTGAAATTGTCATTTTCTACATTTCAAAATAATTTTGGTTGGAAACTGGCAAAATCATTAACCTCTAAGCTTTAAATCATTGCATAGTTGGGGTAAAACATTTCAATTTATAGTGGTAAAGCTATAAAAATTCAACAGCAAAAGAGAATTTAACTCTGAAGATTAAATTGCATGAGCTTACTATTAAAATAAAACATCTCCTCCATTATTCTTTGAGTTGTATCGGCAAGCTTTTAGACATATATGAAATATTAACAATGGCTAAAATACAATTCTGTTATCCAAGGTTATTTTTCTAGTTGAGGCATTTATAAATATCCATGTGGTACTTTCTAGTTTATGATACTTTTAGGGATCTCTACAAGGATACTTGCATAATATATGTAGAGAGATGTGTTCAATCAAATAGTCACCTAAGCAGCAGAAGTTGAATTATAAAAACCTAATACTGCTTTTGAGATTGGGTGTCACCCCATTTACAGATAACTGGAAATAATCATAACTGTCAAAAGAATTAACTAAATGGGGCATGAATGTCTTGCCAGAGAATTGGAAGTAAAAATTTTTCCTACAAATGTTTGTATTCATTATAATTTACTTGAAAAAAAAGGCAAAAATATCCATGTGGCTCACAAGAGTTTATTGTACAGAGCTTATAATAACTAACTCTTAGAAACATTTAAGAATATATTAGCCAGTAATATTTGATAAACAATTAATAAATTGACTACACATTCACCTCAGTCTTTATTTTTAAAATGTGAGATACTTCAGATAAATTTTTGCAAGTCTCCTACTTAAATATATATTTTATAGATACTGCCTAAAAATCATAAGCAATATTGGTAAAAGTGGGATATTAAGGAAATCAATCATTTTCATTCCTAATGAAAGTGCCCTCATTTTTAAATGCAGAAAATTTGATATCCAAAACTTTGCATTTAAGTTTGTCATGTTATTAGTCAACTTGCTTAATCTTCCTGCACTGTTTTCTACATTTGCTTTGCTCTTATAAACCTGAAATGATAAGCATCCTGATAAATAGATAGTTGCATTGTATTTATATTTATCTTCTATATATGTAACAAATTTGGATTAACCCCATCTGTGGCATTCATAAATTTAGAATAATGCTTTATTGTCTGCACTGGGAGAAATCTTTAAACCTCCTGTCCATTCAGAAAATGAATTATTGTTATTCCCATGATCTACTCCATCCTTCTTATAATTTCAGCAACTAAAATGTGCAAAGTTTGTCGTTTGTCAAATTTTAATGAAGTTTGGGGAACAAAGGAGGTGCATCACAATAGCATTGCAGATTATACAATAATATGGATATACAACTTTGGTCTTAGACTGCACTGCAGCCATCCTCAGTTGCTGGTACTCATTATATAGGACTCTGACTTCTATGGTTATCATATTCTTAGGCCTTTTAACCATAAATTGATGACTTTGTTTATCAATCAAAAGGAGTATTCATAGGTTCTACTAAACAGAAGGCTTTTGTCTCAAGGGAATATGCATCCCTTAGAATGTAAAAATGACTACTTAATCATTATTTAAATACTATTGGGGATTTTATACTGTAAAGTGATCTATAGTAATACATCCTGATTATAAAGAAATATGTTGTAATGTTATTTATAGATAATTATTCTTAACAAAAATGAGAAGAGCACCTACTTGATTTAACATATTTCAAACTTTAATCTGAATATTTAAATTTTCATAGATTGCTATAATAGTATTTATACTGTATTTTCATAGTCCCTTTGTAAATATGGCTGAAATCGTATGAGAATAAGACTTTTGAAAATCAAAAATTAAGAAAAAGAAAAGAAAATCTTTGCTTTTGTTAACATAGTTTGACAGTACAATAAACACATTTCTTAAGATTGTAATCTACAGGAAGATGTTTCAGACCTATTGTGTATTATTCTAAAGAAGATTAATGGCATTTTTATATTTTTTCACCTTTAAAACAGGGGAGCAGGAGAGGATTTTTAAAGGTACCCTTTTACCTCTTATAGGTATAGATAGTCATAATTTTAGTTTGAGATATCAAAGAAACATGTGCCCATGATTCAGTCTTATAATTATGTGATTTACACATTAAATCAAGATGTTATCATAGTTTCCAAGTCATGTTCACATAGAAACAAGTCATGGGTAATGTTGGCTGGAAAGGCTAATAGGGACCGTAGAACCCAAAGTTGAACGTTTCTTTCTTTTGCTTCATAGGCAGCCTCCTTAACTGTGGACTCCTGTTCTGAGAACCAGGAGCCAGGATATTGTACTGTCAGTAATGTGGCAGTTTCAGATGACTGGTAAGGAATATGATTACTTTAATTTTCATTATTACTTAAATTTTTTAAAATAAATTGTATACCTATAATAATTACAGGATGCTAAGTGTACATAAAGCTTAAGATATTTTATTTCCCTCTCCAAATTTTTATAATATAAAATAGTCAATAATTACTGTGCAAAATGTGTTAAAATGTGTGAAATGAAGTGGTAGAAATAAGGATAAAATTGGTGAAAAGGAAATTAAATATAGCCAGTAGTCTTTGGAAAGATTCATGAAATAATCGTATATGACCTTCATTCTGAAAAACATGTAGGATCAAGACCCCAGTTCTTTCAACTGCATTTCTAAAAGTTTATGTGAAAATTATTAATAGATATTTTTCCATAGCACTTAAAGCTGAACACAGCAGTAATCTACCAGAAAATAAGTGATTTTAATAGGAAAAAATGATAAACAGAGAAAAATAAATAGACCTGGATAATGACGCATCATTCATTGCCTCAGTCAACTTATTGGCATCCCTTGCATTGATCACCTTACTGATATCCTTTATCATCTCTTCAGGGAAGGAGCAATGTAATGTAAATATTAAAGGTGATACTAATTCTATAGCATTTTATCTTCCCTCTGAGAGTATGCTCCTTCTTACTGACTCAGTATTGTGATAATATACATCTAATTTGACTAATTGAAAACATAATTTCCATAAATTTTATTATTTTTCATAACTTGGAAGCCTAACAACTCTGTGTGTTTATAGGACACTCTTCTACATGTTTTCCATTGAAATTCATCACACTATAATAAATGTCAAAAAAAAGCTATATTCACTGTTTTTCAAAATAAACATTATACTAAAAATGTAATCTTTTGGCACTAATATTTATATCTTCCATTTTTTATTTAGGACTCTTGATGTTCAGCCAAATAGAGTCACAGTTGGAGGTATCAGATCGCTAGAACCAATCCTTCAGAGGAGAGGACATGTGGAAAGCCATGATTTTGTCGGGTGTATAATGGAGTTTGCAGTCAATGGAAGGCCTCTGGAACCCAGCCAAGCTTTGGCAGCACAAGGCATCCTAGATCAGTATGGCAATTTTATTTCTTACTGTTTTAAAGAAAAAGAATGCAAAAAAAGTATGCTTCAGTGAGCATCAAAAGATGAAATTATTATTCTCAAAACTCTAAAAATACCAAATGATATATATTGTTTTGAGTTTTAAATATTTATTTACACCTTTGAAATTTTGGCATAAAGTTTGATATTTAATTAGAAAATTAATATTTTTCTAGAGTCTTATACATATATGTTATATATATATGTATGTGTGCATGTATATGTTTTACCCTCTTACAGAGAGTTGTGAAGATTAAATGAGCTAAGTTGGTAAATTATATAAAAAAGAGTTCCAGCATATAGAGATATATAGACGTTAGCCATCAAGGGCACATAGAACTTTATTTCACCTTAAATAGTTTTACTTATAGACATACATATTCCTAAAAACTTGATACAGCTTTAAAAACAGGTAATAACTTGATTAATTATGAACTGTAAGACTTTTTTATTTGATTACTAATTAGGTTTCTAGCAATAACTTAGGAATGGTAGAAATTACATATTTTATTTTAAAATTACTTTTGTTCATTATTGAAGTTTGAAAAATTCTGAAAAAAATACAAGGAAGAAAATAAAATTAACCTATAATCTAACTACCCAGAGACAAGTACTCCTACGTTATTGTCATGTTTGTGACTGCTTAGTATCCCATAATGTGAATGTGCTATATTTTAACTATTGCTTTACACTTCAGTTGTTTCCAGTTTTATTAATATACCAATTACCCTGTGATTAACCCATTTTCACAAAAATCTTTGCTCACATTATTTTTTGGATGAGATTACTAGAAATAAAACTACTACTGGCAAAGCTAGAAATACTTTCTAATGTTTGTAACTTAAATAATTTAATAACATTTGCCATTTGCCTTTCTTTTCCTACATGTTGTTACTGTTTTGTTACAAAGTCACATTGGTTCATTATTATTATTAATCAAACAGTGCAGAAAAACAAAGGATTGAGATTGCCACCATTGTTCATGCTTTGGTGTGCATCCTTTTGTATCTCTCTCCATGTTCACACACATTTTTAAATACCATTTTTTTTCATTTAGAGATATTTCGTGAACATCTTTTTAGGTCAAAACCTACTGAAACAAAACTTTTAGACTTACCTTTAACTCCTCTCTTTCTGTTAGACTTTATGTCCAGAATGACCTTTCTATTTGTTTGTTTGTTTTTTGAGACGGAGTCTTGCTCTGTCGCCCAAGCTGGAGTGCAGTGGCGGGATCTCGGCTCACTGCAACCTCCGCCTCCCGGGTTCAAGCAATTATCTGCCTCAGCCTCCCAAGTAGCTGGGATTACAGGTGCCTGCCACCACGCATGGCAAATTTTTGTATTTTTAGTAGAGACAGGAGTTTCACCATGTTGACCAGGCTGGTCTTGAATTCCTGACCTCATGATCTACTGGCCTCCGCCTCCCAAAGTGCTGGGATTACAGGCATGAGCCACTGCACCCGGACCAGAATGGTTTTTAAAACACAAGTCAGTTAACTTTTTCACTTTTTGGCTCAAAGTGCTTCAATAGCTTCCCATCTAACCAGCTTCAAAACCAAAATCCTGACACTGACTGACAACATTTTTGTGATCTGCCATCTCCCTTAACTTCCTGACCATATCTAACTACTCTTCTTCTTCTTGTCCCCTGAGCTCCAACCATGTTGGACCTCAGTGTTTCTCAAACATGGCAGTACGCTTTCACTTCAGGGCTTTCTCACTGGCTGTTTCCTCTAGCTGAAATGATATTCTACCAGATATACTTCATTCCCTTATTTTATTTAGGTCTTAAGAATTAATCTTAAAGATTAAGATTAATTCACTGCCTAAAGATTCAGCAAACCTGCAAACTCTCTATACCCTTTCTCACCTTGATTTTCTCGATAGCTATTTTTTTCTTTACTTTCTGCCTCTTCCACAAGAAAAAAATAAGTACTTCCTGAGTGCACGGTTATTTTTTTCATTACTTTACTTCCATGCTTAGAACAGTACTTGGCGTATGGTAGGCATTCATTAAACATTAGTTGCATGAGTAGCCTGGTAGACAGGTGTCCAAAAATATGTGGTCCCTGGATAATATGTATTAACCAAAGTGTTTATTTGACCAAGATATTTTATTCAAGTAAGAATTAATTTAAAGAAGAAATTGTCATATCTTTCTCATTATTATGTAAGACATAATTTTTCTTGAATCTTTTTTAGTATGAGGCAGACTGTGTTTTTAAGGAAAACTTCTAATTTGATTAGTTTCTCCAAATGTAGTTGTAACTTGAGCTTCAAATAATGGAGTGCTTGAAATTAAACAAGTTAATACAAATTTTATCGAGTTTAAGCAAACTTCTTCTCATCTTTTATGTGATTTATGGTTCTCATTATGATTTATTTTAGATGCCCTAGGCTGGAAGGCGCTTGTACTCGCAGCCCATGTCAGCATGGTGGCACATGTATGGATTACTGGTCATGGCAGCAGTGTCATTGCAAAGAGGGACTCACTGGGAAATACTGTGAAAAATGTATGTAAGGTCTTCCATCTTCCCCTGGAAATTATAATAACTATGAAAAGTAAAATATATGCACCCAAGTATGTAATTGGATTAAAAATTATGGTTTCATTCTAAATATTAAAAATATTAAATGGGCAATAATTGGTAAAATACAGTGACATTTAAAAAATATTTTTGTAACCTGAAGAAGAATGATATCCTTTTAAAGAATTATTTACTAAATCTCTAGCTTCCATTTTAAAATTATTTTATTCACTTATTTTTGTTTGTTTTAGCTGTAAGAATGCTAGGCAATCTAGAAGATCAAAGGTTATATTTAGGGTTTTTTTTTTTCGTATTATCTGCCTTTAGGGGATTTTTTCTGGTCAATTTTTGTGCATAAAAAGGTATACACACTAAATCACTCAACACTGAGCTCAAAACATCATACAACGGCATCGTATGTTAAAATTAATGTTGATACTTTCATTTCAATGTACAAGTGGTAGAATTAGTTTTGGATATTGCTTTTTAAAATCCTTTCATCAGTTGTCTCCTAAGACCTAATGTTATTAGTTAGACATTAATGACGTTCACATCATCATTAGAAATTGGTGCTCTGTAATTTCGAGCTGCACATTTCACTAACTACCCCTAATGGCTCCTCTTTTCTTAAAATTCTTCATTTTCAAACAAGTGGTTACTACTTAAATCCATTGCAGATATCTGACTACATTTAAGAAGTCATTTGATTCAATTATATTATGAAAATGAATAGAAATGCATAATAAAATTCAGGATATAATATAATCTAAAAGGTCTTAGCAGAAAGTGTAATTGTGTGTAATTATATTAGAGATCATGAAAACATAGAAAACATATTGTCATGTGATTTTTAATGAATAAATATTTAATAAGTAGGAGCCTAATTATATCTGAAATATGAGTCATTGGCTAGATAAATGCCTGAGGCGCTTTTTCTTAAATCATGATGTAACTCACATACTATAAAATGTATCGTTTTAAAGTGTATTTTTCAGGACTGAAATACATTTGAGCTCATTTTCTTCATATTCTTTCTTTAGCTATATGATTTGTTTCTATAACTTAAACTTCCATATTTCTGGAGTGTGGATTTTTTTCAGATTATGATAAATTATAATATACATACTGATTATACGTGATGATAAATTATATGTGATGATTACTGAAAATAAAGTTAGTTACAGATGCAAATATTTGATTGTACACTTCTTTGTCCAAATTCATAGCATACTAGAGACTAAAGATTACAAATTATTTTAATCATGCAAACATATATTTTGGAAACACAGTGAAAATGATTACAAACAAATTTTTCAGGTACATATTTCCAACAAGTGGCTATGTCTTTAGATATTCATGATTTATATAATGTGGCAAATAATTTAGTAAATATTTCCCAAATGGTTAATGACTGTCATAAAGTATTTTACATTTCATGCTTCTGAAATGGATGTAAACATTTGAAATCAACTTATATAATAATTCATAAATGACTATTTTTTAAAGAGTAGAGTTGGGGGACAGTAATTCCCAAAACTTAATATTTTCATTGTCCTTTTTATATTTTTGTCACTATAGAAAACTCTCCAAGAAATGCCAAATGAATGCATTCATTTTCCCTTTTTTCCTTTGGCTTTCAGCTCTTACTCCTGACACTGCCTTATCATTAGAAGGCAAAGGGCGCTTAGACTACCACATGAGTCAGAATGAGAAGCGGGAATATTTGTTAAGGCAAAGCATACGAGGTGCTATGTTGGAGCCTTTTGGTGTGAACAGTCTGGAGGTAAAATTTAGGACCAGAAGCGAGAATGGCATTTTAATCCATATCCAAGAAAGCAGTAATTACACTACTGTGAAGGTGAGATAAAAGCTAATGGTGACTTCATTTGATTAGACCGCCTGCCGTGTAGTGGTTTACTCCTCCCATAATTTCTGTCCTTTTCTTTACAACCCATTAGAGTTCCGACTAATGCTGGGCACTATTCCAATGTCATCTATCTTAACTATTCCACAGGCATTGGCCAGAGTAACAAAGATCTGAATGGTTTGGTTTCTACACACTTTTGTGGTGCTTTAGAGTAGAGAACCCTGCCAGGTAGGCCAGCACACAAAGAATGAGTTGCAATCTATTTTTCTGGTAAGAATTTATATCGCTTTTTTCTTACTTTTAAACAAAGCAAACCAAAAATGTAATGTGTCTTTGAAATACAAAAATATTTTTCTCCAACAATTATTTCAAATACTGATATGTATATGTCAATTGACAGGATTAGAATAAGGAAAAACATTTTGAAATAAGGAAAAACATTTTGAAATTATATGATTTCTGGAGCATATATTCAATTCTCTATATAAACTCTATGAAGTATATTTGGAATTTATTATAATTTTCATTAACCTTTCCAAATAATTTTTAAATAATCTTAAAAATTATACTTCATAAGAACAATGGTTTGATTTATCTTTAGGCTTTTACATAATTTGTTTTTTCTTATCTGTAAATAAGATACTAAAATTACATACAGATGAATAATTTCAATAGATATCCATTTTTGCATCGGCTCTCAGCTTTCTGAATTTATGAATCTATATTCTGCTTTCTTTCCCACAAATAAGTCATCTCCTAGACCAACAGTTTCTTTAGTTTAGTTGTATTGACTGCCTTCCATTAATCTTACTTTGTATCATTCTACTGATAATTTTTTATATAAATTTTAGTAAATTCTTAAGATTACAAATCTAGATTTCCTGAATTATTTTCATCTGTTAGTCAATATTTGATAATTACTTCAGGGATCGTTCACAAAGAAAAAGAGCAATATGTTCAGAAAATTATTAGGTTTAATTCACATATAATACTAAAAATAAAAATAGATGTTCACTTCTAAACTTCAGCCTCTTTCATCCTCAAAATTTTTCTCTGTGCAAGTCAACCGTGATTATGTTGCATATAAATATATTTAATAAGTAGCATGAAAACCAACATTTCTTACCTTCTCAAATGATAATTCCTCTAGTCTAGTCATTTCCAACTAGGAAAAATTTTACCCCCAGGAGACATTTGGCAATATCTGGAGATATTTTCAAGTGTCACAGTTAGGAGGTGGGAGAGTACTGCTGGCGTCTAGCGGTAGAGGTCAGGAATGCTGCTAAACAGCAGCACTTCACAACAAAGAGTTATGTGGCCCCAGATATTACTGCCAAGTGGCAGAGACTCTACCCTTATCCCCTACAAGAGAACATCTTCAGGTTTTAACTGTACCTCTATTGAAACAAAGGACCCAGTTCCAGAGTTAATAAAACAACTGTAAAAGAGAACACATAAGCCATTGTATTGTATCATTATTTGGTACTTATAATTTTCATTGAAAATGGTATTTGAAGTAAACAAAGTAAAGAAGCAAAGAAAGAAACAGGTCTTCATCTTCTATAAGAAACGTATTTTATGTGTTTTGAGAGGCTTTGACATTGAGGTCTGTGTGTTATCTGTTAAGCTGCTTCCAAGTCTTCGTGCCATTTAAATGACATATGAAATATTTCTGTACTAACGTACACTTTAAGCCAAGGAATTTAGTCAAAATATAATGTGGTTGAAAAAAATCAAAGACAAATTTTTTTCTCCACTAAGAAAAAAGCTCAATGTCAGGATCCATTTTTGTCAACATAAATTCTATTTCCAACAGGACAGCAGCATACAACTCCAGATTTTGTTAGATTGGTAGCAATAACTTAATTTTGTTTCCTGAAAAGAAAGTAAGTGCTAATTAATTAAAAAAAATGGATAATACAGACCAAAATGCATACTTTTGTATGAAAATTTTGACAAGCAGCTTTTCAAAGATTAAGGGGCTTAGTAGGTAAAGAGAATAGGTAAGAAAAAATAACAGCAGTGAATTAAGAATATCTAAACTGAAAGAAAGTGGCTGTTGTAAGCAGGCAAATTATTTGGATGACAGGAATATCAAGTGCTTATACAGACTAGGAAGCTAGTTAGGATGGACTTTTACTTATCAGTTAGCTTATTGGTCACCAAGACGCCAGGGTTTCTTTTTCCCTTTTTTTTTTTTTTTTGGCTCCTTTTCTGACCCTTTCTTTAACTCTTTCTTATGGTTTGCATTCTCTCTCTCTCTTTCTCTCTCTCTCATTGTCTTTTCTATCATTTTGTCTCTCTCTCTCTCTCTCTCTCTCTCTCTCTCTCTCTCTCCACACACACACACACACACACACACACACGCAGACAGAAGATGGGACATTTTGTGAAAAATGAGCAAGGGTGTTGAGTACATGGGATTGCATGTGGTTAGAAGAGAGACAGGGTGTCAGTGTCAGATATGGGCAGCAGTAGCAATGAGAAGAGAGAGAAGAATATGTAGAATCAATTGGGTCTATTCAGAAAAAAAAAAAATTAAGAAGACAAAGTTTCAGAGAGAAAGGCAAAAGGAAAGCATACTTGTTCAAAACTTTGTAGGTCAATATTTAACTCATTTCACAAATCTCTCTTCATTCATGCCATACCTTATAGCTCCATATTTGATGTTCTGTAATAACAGTAATGTGATGGACTTTATTTCTACTCTAAACCAGTTCTTTTGTTTTGTGTTTGTCTGTTTGTTTAAGTGGGCAACACAAGTGGTACAGAATAATTGGAATAAGGAATTCAAAGCTCTATAGATTCAAGTTAAATAAATGAACAAATAAATGCCATCATGAGTCGCATAATGACAGGAATACATTTCAATAAATGCATTGTTAGGTGATTTCATTCTTGTGCAAACGTCATAGAGTGAACTTACTCAAATCTAGATGGTACAGCCTACTATACACCTAGGCTATATGGAATAGTCTATTGCTCCTGTGATACAAACCTATATGGCATGTTTACTGTAATAAATACTGTAGGCAATTGTAACACAGTGGAAAGTATTTGTGTATATAATCATATCCAAACATAGAAAAGGTACAGTAAAAGGTTACATAGAAGATTTTTTTGTGGGGAATTGGGGACAGCCTGAGCAACAGGGTCTTGCTTTGTTGCCCAGGCTGGAGTACAGTGGCATGATCTCAGCTCACTGCAGCCTCCACCTCCTGGGCTCAATTTATCCTCCCAGCACAACCTCCCAAGTAGATGGGACTACAGGCGTGCGCCACCATGCCCGGCTACTTTTTGTATTTTTTGTAGGGATAACTTTTCTGGTGTTGCCCAAATGGCACTTATTGTGAATGAAGCTTATAGGACTGAAAGTTGCTCTGAGTCAGTGAGTCATTAAGCAAGTGGTGGGTCAATGTGAAGGCCTAAGACATTATTATACACTTCTGCAGACTTTATAAACACCGTACACTTAGGTTACACTAAATTTATCAAAAATATTTTTCTTCAATAATAAATTAACGTTAGCTTACTCTAACTCTTTTAGTTTATAAACTTCTAAATTTTTTAACTTTTTTCTCTTTCGTAGTAACAATTAAAACACAAATACATTGTACAGCTGTACAAAAATATTTTCTTTCCTTATACCCTTATTCTGTAAGCTTTTTTCTATTTCAAACTTTATTTCATTTTATTTTTACTTTTAAACTTTTTCATTAGTAACTAAGAAACACACAAAAAAATACACATTAGCCTCGGCCTACACAGGGTCAGTATCATCAATATCACTGTCTTCCACCTCCACATCTTGTCCCAGTGGAAGGTCTCCAGGGACAATAACACACATGGAACTGTCATCTCCTATGATAACAATGCCTTCTTCTGGAATCCTATCTAAAGGACCTGGATGATGCTGGTTTACAACTATTGTTTATATCATTAGAAGCAGTACCCTCTAAAATAATGATAAAAAAATTTAGTGTAGTAAATGCATAAACCACTAATATAGTCATTTATTATCATTATCAAGTATTATGTATTATACATAATTGTATGTGATATACTTTTATACAACTGGCAGCACAGTAGGCTTGCTTACACCTGTATCCCCACAATAAGTAATTTGTTGTGCTATGACATTACAATGGCTCTTGGGTCACTAGGCGATAATAATTTTTCAGCTCCTGTGGTTCATCATTGACTGTTTATGAATAAATAAAATGAAGCAAAGATTAGCATGACGTTTTAAAAGTGAGAAATTATATAAGTGTTAAGTACAGTACTGCCAGGGAGAAGGAAAACATTAAGAATGTTATAATGAGAACTTATATTCTTATCCACCCCAATTTGTGGTATATTCCAAGTTCTCTCTCATCAAAAATTTATTGAATAAAAGGATGACATGATGAAATCAATTAGGAAGAAAGAGCTGGGAGGAGGCTTTTCCTATTTTTTTTTCAAAAAGGACTCTAGCTATAACCAAAGCTAGTTTTTACTCTGTGTTGCTGTTTTTACTCTGTGTCATGAGATGTTGCCCATTTGATGAAATGTTATTGTCATTTAGCTAGAATTTTCTGTGTTTTTTTTTTAGTTTGGTTCTGAAATATATTATTATCTGGAAAAATTGCTTTAATAAAATATTACTATATGAATAACATATGTAAATGTGTTAGACGTCTTTTCCATAAAGTACAAATGAACTGATTTTTAGTTTTACCAGATGTGTTTGTTGCATGTAGAAATAGCATTTGATCTGAGTGACAAAATAAACTGATCCATCTTTTCATTCCCGTTATTTGAAGAACAGTGCCACTGCATCCCCCTGCCAACACACCAGCTCTGTCTGGCAGTGGTAACGGGATATGCTCCCTGAACCAAATGTTCATCTTGCCTCATAAATTATCTCATTTTCTAAAATGGTCTGCTCAGGATACTGGAAACTCAGTAGCTGGAAACTGGAGCGGGAGCACCCTGTTACCCAATGTTCTCCTGGACAAAATAAAATAAACCAAATATCCCTTAGATAAATTGTAAAAGACAGCCAAAGTGAAGGCTTGCCCAGACACCTCATTAAGAATTCACTCTTTGTTCATCATAGTTTTTGATCTCAATAAACGATATAAACAATAGGCATCATTTTTTCCTAAAATTTGTGTGTAAAAGATGAGAGGTAAAACAATTGTTTTCATCTTTATTTTTCAACTATGCTTCCTTTTTAGCTGAGCATTGCTTTTTCTTTTTGCAAGTGGTTTTCACAATTTTTTAGTACTGTGGGCCTTTTACTAAACGAATCAGCATAACACACTCCAATGGCAGGTTGTCACTGGAATACAAATAATTTAAAAAGGTATAACTTAGTTATCTTAAAATGGGCATTTGCCCCTTTATTATTTCAATTGTGTTCTGGAAAATAATTCATTGTGTTTTGAGAAATTAGGTATACATACAAGAATATTTTGAAAACCATTGAAACTATTAAATATAAAAGTGTATGTTGCCTAAAATTGTAGAGACAAGGTGTGTAAGTACATTCTAATACAACCAGATTCTTCAGCTATTCTATCTGCTGTAGATTGGTCAAAAAATTTAAGTTTAGTTTTATTAATGATTTTGATTTAATCATACCATATTTTAATTGCATATTATTTATAATATGTTTTACAGATTAAGAATGGCAAAGTACATTTTACATCTGATGCAGGAATCGCTGGGAAAGTGGAGAGAAATATTCCTGAAGTGTATGTTGCAGATGGCCACTGGCACACTTTTCTAATTGGGAAAAATGGAACAGCCACAGTATTGTCTGTCGATAGAATATATAACAGAGATATTATCCACCCTACTCAGGACTTCGGTGGCCTTGATGTGCTTACTATATCACTTGGAGGAATTCCACCCAATCAAGCACATCGAGACGCCCAAACAGGTAAATGCCTCTATTAAGTAGAGTCACAAGGGAAGTAAAATTGTCCTTCAAAGAGTAAGTGTTTTTTACTTGTGGCATGAGTGGCTAAAATCTACACAATTAGCATGAATCTCATATACAGTACAATTTCATTCAATAAAATTTATGCTTAAAAAAGTAGTTTGATGTCTGATAATATCAATTATAAATATCCTAAGAATGTCATAACTATCTTCAGAAAGTTTGTAATAAACTATTAGCCACCACTTTCTCTAGCAGCTTGCATCTTTCTTACCAAGGTTGTAATTCAGTCCATAGTGTGTTGATGCTTTGCTTGTCCACCAAGCATTTTGTATACATTTGTTCATTTATTTATTCATTCACAGCCACTCTCTTCATAGACCATTAATGGAGACAAACATTAATCAGATTCTTACACAAGTAACCACATTATTCTAGTGTGTGATAAATAATACAAATGAAGAATGTAGAATTCTAAAATACAGTGAAAAACAGAAAGGAAGGGGAATTTTGCTGTGGAATTGACATTTATACATAAATCTGAGTGATAAGGAGGAGGATAGAAGTGTATGATAGGTTAATTTATGTTGATAGGAATTTTTTTAAAGAAATAGTTTAAGTTGGCCGAGCACGGTGGCTCAACCCTGTAATCCCAGCACTTTGGGAGGCCGAGACAGACGGATCACGAGGTCAGGAGATCAAGACCATCCTGGCTAACATGGTGAAACCCCGTCTCTACTAAAAAATACAAAAACTAGCCGGGCGAGGTGGCGGGCGCCTGTAGTCCCAGCTACACAGGAGGCTGAGGCAGGAGAATGGCGTAAACCCAGGAGGCGGAGCTTGCAGTGAGCTGAGATCCGGCCACTGCACTCCAGCCTGGGCGACAGAGTGAGACTCTGTCTCAAAAAAAAAAAAAAAAGAAATAGTTTAAGTCAAAGTTATAAAACACAGCACACTGGGGACGAATGTCATAGGTAAATGATGAAGTTGGAGAATGAAGCAACTTCCTGACCATGTTGCAGTTTTGGTCTTATCTACAGAGCAATGAGAAGTTATTGAAAACTTTAATCGCAGTAGGATCAAGTTAGATATGCAGTAATATTACAGATCATTCAGGCTACAACATGGAGAATGAATTGGAGGAGGGCACGAGTGGATCTATAGAAATGAGGTGGGATCTGGGCAAGATGTCTTGTGAGCTCCTACTAGTGTGGTGACTGAGGAGTTAGAAAGGAATGGATAAGCAAGAAGTACTCTGGGAACTATAATCAACCAAACTGTTAGTGATTATGGTAAAATTCAAGGAGGTTTCTACCTCTCAAAGAAGAGTAGGTCAGCAAGAGAGGAAACTGCAGAACCCCGTGAAAGCAGCATATCTCTGAGAAATATTAGATTTGGTTTGGGATATTTTGGGTTTGACACATCTTTGAGAAACTCCTTTGGATGGATGGGCTGGAAATCAGAAATAGGCTTTAGCTGGAAATACGTATTTAAGAGTGGTCAGTGTCAAGCAGGTAACTTAAGTACTGGACATGGCTGTGATCATCTAACATGAGGGTGTAGAGTGAAAAGAAAGCCTAGGACCTCATCTTCAGTAACCCTAAGAGTTACTGGTTATAGGTAGAGGAGAATAAGTCAGAAAAGGAGACAAAGTAATAGGAAGAAAATCAGGAGTATAGGAACAAAAGGAAAAGATGTCACAAAAGTACATGGTAAAACATATCAAGAATGAGAGTGTCACTATAGTAGAACGATGCATTAAATAAGAGGGAAAAATGCATGTGAGAGTAATAGATTTAAGGCATAAAAGTTAAAGTCCAAGTCTTTCATATATGTTGATTATAGAATGTTGTGAGAAAACAAGCCAATGGAAATTATGCTTTTTTGGTAGAGTCAAAATAGACTGTTGGGCCCTGAGATAGGAATATCAGCAGTGCTAGCACACTCAAGTGTAATGAAGTGTTTCTTAACTTTGTATTTTATCTTTATCATTCCCCTAAGGAGACACTTAATATAGTCCAAACTTTGCCATCCCCAAGTCATAAAATGTTAACACCAGAGTTATGTTTTTATCTTCCCTTTCAAGGCCCACAGACCATTGTAATAGCTAAGATTTTTTTCTTTTGTTCCCCAAGAACCTATGTTCCACACCTTTGGTGCATTATCACCTTCAATGGGAATGCATGATTTAGTAGTTGAAATCATTGGCCTATTTCATGTTCTTTACAAGTTTTAAAACATACATTTTATTTGTATGTATGCAATTTTTGGTATATGGAATGTATGAAGGAAGGGAATTGATAAACAAATGAGTAAGTAAAAGAAAATTCAGCTTGCCCAAGTCATTCATAAATCTTCAGAATGAGTGAGATTCAAGCAATCTGCCCCATGTTTGGTCATGGTAATCTTACGTCCCTTGCTAATGTATGTTATAAGATGCACAGCTTAATTACCTTTCAGCTGGACGATGACTGAGACTGAGGTTCTGTATTCATATGAGGTGATTGTGGAGCTTCTCTTTACAAGATGTCAGCAGCGTATTATAAGCTTTTTTTTTTTTTTTTTTTTGGAATGGTTTATATCACTCTGTAAGAATGCCTATATAAGAGAGAAAAGAGTATAAGGGTTCCTCTTCTCTGTATCCTCACCAGCCTTTTTTTTTTTTTTTTTTTTCTGTAAAAAGCCTGACTGCTGCTTCTTCTCCCAGCAGGTTTTGATGGCTGCATTGCTTCTATGTGGTATGGTGGAGAAAGTCTTCCTTTCAGCGGGAAGCATAGCTTGGCCTCCATCTCAAAAACAGATCCCTCGGTGAAGATTGGCTGCCGTGGCCCGAACATTTGTGCCAGCAACCCCTGCTGGGGTGATTTGCTGTGCATTAATCAGTGGTATGCCTACAGGTGTGTCCCTCCTGGAGACTGTGCCTCCCACCCGTGCCAGAATGGTGGCAGCTGTGAGCCAGGCCTGCACAGGCCCTGCACTCTGGCTTCACCTGGTAGCTGCCCAGACTCCACACACAGGAAGGACCCTGTGAGATGGTGGTGCCTGTCTTGGCGTCCTCTGTCCTCAGGGAAGTGTGCCAAAGCTGGAAGTCCTGCAGGCATTGTCTGTGTTCTGAGTCCAGGGCCCTGAAGAGATCTCCCTGCCTTTGTGGGCTGTGCCTGCCCATCGTGGGCAGCTGCGCAACCGTCTTGGCCCCTGGTCCTGAGCCTTATCCTGTGTAACCAGTGCAGGGGGAAGAAGGCCAAAAATCCCAAAAGAGGAGAAGAAACCGAAGCGAGAAGAAGAAAAAAGGAAGGTGAGATGTTTGCTTTGTGATGACCCCGACAATATCCCCCCGTACGGGGATGGACATGACTGTGAGGAAAGGCAGCCTGAAGCGAAACCCAAAACCAATATCATTGAAAGGGAAAACCCTACCTTATATATGATGAAACTGATATTCCTCAAAAACTCAGAAACCATCCCCAGTGCCCCTTTGGTCTTCCAGAGCAGGATGATAGCAGCCACTATGCGACATTTGACAATGCCAGTCAGCATTCGCCCCTTCGGAGTGCTGACATCATTCTCAACACTACAAGCAGTTCCGCAGGGCCACACACCAAAATTTTACAATTCCAGAGGCACAGTCCCCTAGGTTTTGAAAGGGCAATCCCATGCCTTAGGAGCAAGCAGTTTGACTTACCAGCCTTCATATGGTCAAGGTTTGAGAACCAGCTCCCTAAGCCACTCAGCATGCCCAACTCCCAACCCTCTGTCCTCGACACAGTCCAGCCCCTTTCTCCAAATCTTCTACATTCTATAGAAACAGCCCAGCAAGGGAATTGCATCTTCCCATAAGGGATGGTAATACTTTGGAAATGCATGGTGACACCTGCCAACCTGGCATTTTCAACTATGACACAAGGCTGGAAGGAGAAGAAGGTCCTCAGGGCCCATGGCATCACATGGTTCCTAGACCAGGGAGTCGCCTAAAGCAGCCAAATTGGGCAGATTCCTCTGAATCTTCTCCTCCAGTTGGACTCTCTATTGAGGAAGTGGAGGCTCAACACACCTCGCCCTAGAAACCCAAGTATCTGCAGTGCAGACACTGGGAGGTCTTCTGCAGAGGAGGACTGCAGAAGGCCACTGTCTAGAACAGGAATCCAGCCGATGCATTCCAGCTCCAGAATCCTCTTCTGATAGTGACTCCTCGAGAATCTTTCACTTGCTCAGAAAATGGAATATGACAGGGGAAGCCAATGGTATATACTTCCAGGATGCCCAAATTATCTCAAGTCAATGAATCTCTGCAAGATGGAGATGAA